AAAATGGCCCAACAAAATTAAAAAAAGGTCCAAGGTTTTATCTTCTTTCTTCCTTGGCTTGGCTTTCCTCGGTAAATCCTCCTTCAACGCCATCCATGGCGCCGACAGCTTCACCAAATCCACTAAAAATTCAATTCCAACAAAGTCGGCATGGGCGATCGTGCCATCTAGTCGGGTGTTGGCTCCGCCACTGCATCTCTCCCTTGTATTGTAAATATTATTACTCATTCTATTTGTGAATCTAATTTGCCAAAAAGTACACGCAACATTTTACTATGATGTTTAATAGAAATTTTAAAAAAGAATCTAAGCGTGTAAGAGATTATCGTTGATTTTTAATCATTCAAATATCAATTTATATTTGTTGGGAAAGTTCGAACAAAATTTCATGCCCACTATATATGGATAGATAGATAATAGGTTTACAAGAGAATAGTCAATACAGGTAATAGGTTCAAAACAAATTGTATGAGAGCTATGCCCCATACTCAGCTGTTAATATGTTAGATGAATCTCTAGATGATTGTGGAAGATTGAGAAGGTGGTGTGAGCCCAATTATTCGTGGTGGTGGAAATAAATAATTGTGGTTGATTCTCAAAGTGATTCCGCTTGCATAAGTCAATGACTTCGATAAGTGCAAGGATTAGAATTTGATATTGTATATAATTTTTTCTAATTTAAGAAATGATGATACATGTGTGTTATTGTTTAAAGGGAGTCGTTGTGACGTTTCGAACAAAGATATATTGTTATGGAAGTACGAATAAAATTTTACATCAACATGATGTAAAGAATTGACGGTACTAAATTGTTTAATTTGGATGATATTTTTATTTGTATAAATTAATCATTTAATCATTCTGATCGGCACATTTTTTACACTTTTTAACTACCAATTGATTGGCACTTCCAGTTTTTTCCATTTGATGTCTACGAAAGTCCCCACTCCTGGTTGTAATTAGCCAACGAGTTGTTCATTCTGGGCCCTAAACAGTGCAATAACTGGTACAGGCCGGACACCATTATATTCAATTATGGGGAAATTAGACTCAGTACCCTAAAAAATATACAAATTTGATTAATACTCTATTAGTTCAGTAAAACATTTAATAACGTATTAATTACGTTCAAAACTGTTAAAAAATTCCAGCTATGCGAAATTTCAATGACCTTTTCTACAATAGTTTTCTTTTCCTCCTCTTCTCTTCTCTTCTCTTCAATCCCAAACCTTTTCCACCCACCCACACCACTACTCTCTGCGTGCTACTTACAAGGTTTATCGATCTTACCTTTGCTTCAGAAAGTCCATTTTTTCTTTCTTTTTTGGTGTAATAATAATAATTATATAGAATATCATGTTTGATTTTAGCGATGAGTTGATAATTGGGAGCTATAAAATCCCATGGCTAATATGGATTTCGCTTCTTGTAATGATTCTGTCTACTCATGCTTGATTATTGAGATTGCTACAGTCACAATCAATTTAGAGATTAATCTTATAGGTATGTTTGAAGGAAGTGTGGGTATTTTTCCCTTTTCTTTTTCTGGTAATTTTTCTTTATGTTAATGATTTTGTCCTGTATTTATAATTAGCATTTTTCTTCAGAAATATGCATAAAGATGTGAATAGCTAGATTATGAGTTTATATTAATGCTCAAATTCATTGCAAATATCAAAAATTCCATATCAGAAGCTGCACAGTGGACTTTTCGGCATGGTACCGGATGGTTTTTGGTGGGATTGCACAAATTGCCGGTGCTTCAAATTTATCCCAATTGATAATGAGCAGTTTTTCTTCTACTATTCTGGAAGAGATTGGTTTTTTAGGTAACATGATGGAATCTTCGGGTATTAATAATGAGTTTCCGGGGGTCATTAGAGAAGCTGGGGAAATAAGTGAGCTTGATCTTCATGACAATAAATTGTGGGGAAATTAGGCCTAATGCTCTAAAANATAATTATTGTGCCATTTGAAAATGACATGCAGTTGTTTGTGAGGAAATTAGGCCCCATACTCTAAAAAATTACCCAATTAGATTAATACCCTAAACTAATTAAACATCAAATAAATCCCGTATTAATTACGCCCTAAACTAAAACAAATCCCCAAAACTCCAAAATAAAAAGTGACAAAATTTGTTGAAGGTGTGGTTGATTTGTTTTATTTAGGTGTTCTCTAATTGCTTGAGGTCAAGTGGAAGGACAGGAATCATAGCATCTGAGGAAGAAGATGTGCCGGTGGCTGTGGAGGAGAGTTATTCGGGAAACTACATTGTCGTTTTTGACCCTCTTGATGGATCATCCAACATTGATGCTGCTGTATCCACTGGCTCTATCTTCGGAATTTACAGCC